TGCAATTTTTACCCACATCGATAATTCAGTTTCTAAGTTACGAGACTGCGTAAGATGTGAGGTGTATTCTGCGGCATTAGAATTTTCATCGTCCATGACGAACTAAAGACCAAATCCATCGGTAAAACAGTACAGGATCGTCTCGAATTACTTCTTCCCGTTTGTGCCTCGTTCGTCGAGTCACACGTCACAGAGATTCCGGAGAAAAGTTCCACGAAAATGGCACTCGCTTTTGGTATGTGCGAAACACCGGGCTGCAAAACTATGGCCAGCCTCCAGTGCCCAACTTGCCTGAAAATTGGAATACAGGGCTCGTATTTCTGTACTCAGGTAACACCCTGTATACTTTTAGGTTAGCTCACGAGATAAATATGCTTGATATTTAAATTTGTATTGTGTGACATTAATTAATAATAATTTGAATTTTACACCTTAATCATATTTTCCTTATATTTCGTACTACCGCAATGTAACATGGTCAACAATCACTGTTATTGATAAACGAATGTTATACGTGCACGAGCGTTCGCAAGAGAACGTAAAAAAACCATATTTTTTGTAAAATAAATTGACGAAGCTTTTTTCTTTATCCTTTACTTTACATTTTTTTACTTGTTGCGACATTTTTCGCTACTTTGAACGTGTCCACATTTCGTTTCAGGATTGTTTTAAACGAAGCTGGAAAACACATAAAGTTATTCATCAAATAGCAAGTGAGTTTGTAAATTAAGAATGATGTAAAATGTATCGATATTAATGTAAAATAAATTTATATGTATGATTAGAACTGTAAATTTGATTAAGTATGTGTTCTGATATTTTCTTATGAAACAATTTGCAAAATTTTATTCTTATCAGAGGGAACAGGTGGAGACAAATCTTCCAATGAATATAACCCGTGGCCTTCTTACCATTACACTGGTAAATTACGTCCTTACAAGAAGGAACCTCTCCGGGAAGTACCGGAACATATCAAACGTCCAGAGTATGCTACACATCCAACTGGTATGTCTCTAAGTGAACAAGCAGTACGAGGTTCTGCTCAAATAAAAGTTCTGGATGATGAAGAAATTGAGGGCATGCGAGTAGCTTGTAAGGTATAACACTAATCAGAATTGTACACTAATAATAAATTTTCTGAACTTTTTATACTTATAGAAGAAGAAAAATATAAATCATAATTACTCCCAATTACTCTTCAGCTTGGAAGAGAAGTTTTGGATGAGGCTGCACGTACCTGTGATGTTGGTGTTACAACAGCTGAGATAGATAAAGCAGTTCATGAGGCTTGTATTGAAAGAGAGTGTTATCCATCTCCACTGAATTACTATCAATTTCCAGCTAGTTGTTGCACTTCAGTTAATGAAGTAATTTGCCATGGAATTCCTGATACTAGGCCACTCCAGGATGGAGATATTTGTAATGGTATATATTGCATTTTTATAAATATAGGTTCAATATAAGCAGAGTAACTTCATGATTCTTATTTGCTATAGTTGACGTGACTGTATATCATAATGGGTTTCACGGCGACTTAAACGAAACGTTTCTAGTCGGTAATGTGAAACCAGAAGTAAGAAAATTAGTTGAAGTTACATACGAGTGTTTATCAAAAGCTATAGACATCGTACGACCCGGGGAGAAATATAGGGAAATTGGAAATGTTATTCAAAAGCATGCACAAGCGCATGGATTTAGCGTAGTACGCAGTTATTGCGGTCATGGAATTCACCGTTTATTCCACACTGCACCAAGTGTGCCTCATTATGCCAGTAAATATCTTACTCGTGATCGTTCTATTAAGACGATTGCTTTGACTTCATTTGTTTACATTATTTTCAGAAAACAAGGCTGTAGGTGTTATGAAACCAGGGCATTGTTTCACTATAGAGCCGATGATATCTCAAGGTACATGGAGAGACGAGATGTGGCCTGATACTTGGACTGCAGTTACCGCAGATGGTCAATGGTCAGCACAATTTGAGCACACTCTATTAGTTACCGAAACTGGCTGCGATATCCTCACGAAACGACTTACAAATGACGGGAAGCCATGGTTTATGGATCGTTCATAGTAGTATTTTTTTCCATAATTTCTTGTCAGTTTACATTTCAAATTTTGTGAATATGTAAGCACTATATTGCTTAAATACCCTTATTTTCATTCTTGCGAGATTTGTTTTTTCAAGATCCCACTTCCCTTCTCGTAAGTGTTATGATAATATCAACAACTCCGATTGTACACCTCCTGTAAGACATTTTTTACTGCACGGCTGTTTTTGTAAACAAAAAAAAGAGAGAGAGAGAGAGAGAAACGAGGTGAAACGATGCTTGAAAAATAGAATCTCCGTGAATTTTTGTTTGTATCCAGAATGGCTCTTGTACCATATGAATAGATTACCTCAATGATACATATGTACATATATATAAACGTAATTCAAATTGATGATGCGCAATGATTGAAATAAAAAAGCAAATTCTGTAAATCAATGGCGGTATCTGTCCATCATTTTACATATCATTTATAAATACATCAACAGACTTATCTAGCAATAAATTAAATAAATTACTATGTCTTCCACGTGGCTGCTTTCAATTCGTATCGTCGATTAGAAAGAAAATTTAACAGAAATTCCACTGCGACAAATTGCTCAAGTGACACGTTTCGTCAACGTACATACCTTGCAAAAACATAAACTTTTCCCATTTTAGAAAAAAAACCTTACTCATCGTCGGGTAAGTTACACAGAAACCCTCGTAAGAACAAAGCTAACCGTTAAATAAGATTGTAATAAATATTCACGTCAAAAGGTATGTACAAAGTATTCCATAATGAGAATTTTATACTGCAGTCTTGGGGTTCAAGCGTGATCCAAATTCGGCATTCGACTGATCGTAGGACGTGTCAGGCTGCGAATTACCAATATCACCTTCGTCGTTCTCATACTCGTATTCAACTTCTACATTTTCCTTCGCTTCCTCGTGTTGTTGTTGTTGCTCGTTGTTGCTATAATCATTCTCGTCTGGCACCATAATTCTCAATGGTCGTTTGTTGCTGTACGCACCTTGTCGCTGACGATGCTGTTGCTGCTGCCTATCGTACTCCTTCCTTTGCTCCTCGTACTGCTGCAATTGTTGTTCATGCTCTTGTTGACCGAGCCGTTGTTTTTGTCGATTCTGATAATAATTCTGATCGTAACGTCCATCCTCGTTAATTTGCTCGTTTGCCTTGTACTCTTCATTCTTATGATTAGGTGGCATATTTTCTTCACTTTGTACAGTCTCCTGTTGCTGCTGCTGCTGCTGCTGCTGCTGCTGTTGTTGCTTTCTTAATTGTCCTATCAATTGGCTGTTCACATTCCCAGCGGCTGCTAGAGCTGCCAATTTCTCAGCAGCTTCACGATTAGGCAGTGTAGTATAGAATTGCGTGGATATACCATCGTTGTTGGCCACTTTGTTGAAATACGTCGTCTGACCCTTCTGACTGTTCGTTTCCTCGTAATCGATGTTGTTCTCCAATTGCTCATTTCCGTCGCTGATGTAAGCGAGGTCTTCGTTCTGCTGCAGATTCTCATTTTCCTGCTCGTCCATCGAAGTCTCTGGTCCCACGTTGTAATTTGTATTCACCCTGCCAGCAACGTAGTCCTGATTGTACAGAAGGTGTTGCTGTTGCTGCTCCTTGTTGTCCTGCTCGTCGTAATTGAACGATTGCATCTGGGGCTGAGAGAAACCAGTCACTCCGGTGGGCTGGAAGAATTGACCGAGTTGCTGCTGAAGAATGTGTTGCTGAAGTTGCGGCTGTTGACCTGGAATCGAGAAACAATTTCAATTCATCCTCGTTGATTCAACAAACGCCACCACTCAACCGGATCGATGTTCCACATCGATAATAAACGTTTCATCTCTCGCGAGTTAACGCTCGTGCAACACGCCAGATACTTCTTAATCTCGCGTTACAGGAAAAGATCGAGCACTTTCTCTCGTAATATTCTAATCTACTTAATCCGCCTATGCGTGTGCAATGCGTGTTAAACTATGCTGTGTATCTCCGCTGTTTAAATCCTACGAACGAAGATACAGAAAGAAAAAGAGGTGGATATTGAAGACGAATCGAAGAAGAGAAATCTTGAGTTCGATAGATTTACCTGTCTGATACTGTTCCGGCATTTTTTGAGGGAAACTGTTCAGGAGATCGTACAGTTGCGTGGCTGAAAGCGGAGGACCAGCTGGAGCCGGATGACCAACATGGAGGTCGGGTATCTGTTGATTTATAATGTAAGGAGTTTGACCAGCGGTACCGGGGAAACCGACGTGCAAAGAACTGTGAAGATTCGTTTGCATTGGTAGATGAGGCTGTCCAAGTTGAATGTTAGTTCCTATTAGTCCCATGTTTGATCCTGGATGAGTGTTTAGATAGACGTCGTTCGACTGCAAGTCGGGATTCACTAACGTCGAAAGCGTCGCAAATTCTGGTGGCAAGAACGTAGGTAGAACAGTTTGATACTCTTTCTGACCGATATCGTTGCTTTCGGTTACTTCGTATTGATGCTGAGTTGGTGTGGGACTTGTTACTGGCTTCTGTGGAGGTAAGCTGGTACTGATTGCAGCTAGATCAAAGTTTGGTAGCAACCCACCTGTGGAGAAGAAAATTGAAGAAATAAGAAATTTTGGCAAATGGAATTACGATAATTGTACGATAGTTAAATTCAATAGATCTCCTCATTTCTCACTTCTGAAAATATTACATTTTGGTACTTGAAAAGTTGTGGTTTAGAATGGTTCAATTAAAACGAAGTATATAAGGTCCTTTTTACACCACTGAAAGACCATATAAAAATCTTGTCTTTCAGACTCACGCACTGAAAGCAACCCGTCTAATCGAAGGGTTTAATTACCCAGAATCAATGACCAGAAGATAAACAACTAACCGTGTAGATTCACTTTATAAGTGGCATCGGTTGTCTGCTGACGCTGAGAGGTTTCTTCTGTATTCGCCTCGCCGTTGAAAGGCTTGTCCATAGGGCTGAGATTAGGCGCTGGAATTGTATGTATCGGTCCTTTGTCGTCGTCGACGCCACCCCTGTGTGTCGGTGGTAGAACAGCGGCTTCCGGTCTATACTCTGGACTGTATTCTGGCATTTTATTCACAGAATGGAACTCTTTAACGGGTGGACGTTGCGGCAGAACCGCGTGATTGTTTATAAAAGCTCTTATTGGCATCGGATTCTTCCAAATGGTCGGTGGTACGTTGAACATCGGTGGTCGTCGAATTCTGAAAGGGAAACAAAAAAAAAAAAAGTAACCGAAACAATTGATGCGATCGATGAAAAAAACGTCGAGGCTGTTCCGATGATGCTTCAATGATTCACCTGTAATTCGGTGGTGGTTTATGTGGCATTCGTTTCGGCGGGAAGTTTCCATTTACGTGCACAGTATTCCCCATTGAGATTCTATGGGATATCGGCCAGGACTTCTTGTACATCAGTTTCGGCGGCTGTGGCGGAGGTAACGGGGGTCTTCTGATCTTGTACCTGGCGTCGACAAGGCAAACACACGCGACCAACAGCCAACAGACCCAATTTGTCGTCTGAAATTTGGTTAATAGAGCGTGTCCGTTGGTCTACCATTATTCGTGAGAAACAGAAATTGGAAGTTGGGTCATTGCCAATTATTGTGATCGTAAGCGGTCAGTGGGTCTCCTGTCTATATTTATCGTTATACGCTATATACTTCTCCAAAGGAGATTACTTCGACGCTAAAATTCACAGTTTCTTGTGAAATTCTATATTTAATTGTACTTTTATTTGCGTGAACTTTTTAAACGAATGTTTCAGCGATCGATATAAAGAAATTGATATTTTCGAACGAGCGAATATCTGAAGGATTCATAACGATCGGAAACGCGGACAAACCGAAACCGGAAATTCAGACCTGTCTTACGGTATTCACATATCGACATGTGCACTTAGTTTCGTCCTTTGCGGCTATGGAGCACGTGTAAAGTACGATGTAATATAAGCCAGTGATTCTCAAATTCCATCGAATAATGCGTTAAAAGATATTTTATTCTTCAAACATTGTACTATTAAAATACTTCAATTTTCCAAACGATAAAGGACTCATGTACACTGTTTACTTCAATAAAATTCAATTTGCAAAATATAACTCGATTCAGAATTAATTATTCATTACCATTCATATACCTTTCCCATTCGTTCCAACATTCTCCATAAAATCGAATCTATGTTATCACCAAGCTCGAAAGCAAAATTGACCCCAGCAAACAAAGAAAACAAGCGTTCCATTTATGATCTAACAATCGACAGCAATAAAACTCTCATTGTCCGCGAGGAAAGACATAATTTCGTATTCAACGCGACGCACGGCCTATTATGTACACATATATCAACCAGTGATTTCAACGAGCGCAACAATGGCCGTGGCAATGGCGGGGGGCATTGCTGCGTTAAACGATCGCGCCGTGTTGCTTGAGAAACGCTGGCAGAGGCAATGAAACCGAAGAGAGAAGTGCCGCGAGTTGTTAGCGGACAAAGTGGGACGGTGTGCCACATCGGTGCAGGAAAAGCGAGGGTAGTAAGAAGCCAGGAGAGGAGCGAGGTCGCGAAAGAAAAATAGTCGAGCGTGGAAATGATGGTCCGGCTGCTATGGATTAGAAATGGTAACCGTGGATGCAACCTTTTGCATCGCGAATCATTAAACGCCGCTTCGTTTTCGCTCAATTTCCCGTTCCTCCGTGTTTCAAGCTTATATCCTTCGAAAAACACGATAGCCAATTATGGGATGAAGAGTTTCGGCCCGAAAAGTCGAACATTGCCCCCCCGTGATTCTCCGGTTTCGTTCCTACATGCACACAAACACAGCTCTCCTGCGTTTTTGACTGATTTATCTCGTTGCTTGACAAATGAGGAACGAGCACGGAAGTGTAATACCTACGATGGATACATTTCACGAATGATCGACGATGCTTTTATAAAAGACATTTTTACGTATTTTTGGTAACAACCTGCAGTGCTTCGTTACTCTTCTGTTCGAGTAAACGTGTCTCTTTTTAGACTGATTTCTCTTTAACCCTTTCGTGACCAGTGGAACGTATATGTATGTGCCACTTGAGTGGTCGGACAAAAATCGATCTCAATTTAGTACCCATTACAGGCAGGACGATCGAATAAGAAATTCTTCGGGAAAAAAATAATTCGGTCACGGAAGAGTTAAATTGAAGTTCTGTAAGAAGTTTGTAAGCAATAAATAATTTTATCTACGTGTTCCTGGTTTGTATATGGTAATCGAGTGTTCGTTTAATTCGATCCAAAATTGCTGGTATAATGTAACTGTTGATTCGTTCCTTTTTGTCTGTATAATATATGTGTGAATGAGCTTTGCTGGTTTCTGGTAGCTGTTTTTCGATTAAAAAAGGCGTTTTTCTTGTGGATGAACGAAGAAACGCGTAGCTATTCCCCGTTAATGATAATAATCAGGCATCGACCGACTATTCTTTTTTTGTCATATAACGGAACTAGCCTCTATATTGGGTAGACAGGCCTATTAACTTGATTTTTCAATCGTAACTATACACCTGTATACTTATCCGTCGTTGTACAACGTGAAGAATACCGTGGCACAACTAATACCCGAGGAATTAGCAAAATTATGTACTAATGGAAGTAGTTCCAGCTAATTTAACAACGTTACAAATTGAACATGCTGAAATACGATTAAGGAAGACGTGCAATTAAAACGATTTCAGCGATAAACACAATAATACACTGTTCTCCTTGTACGTGAAAAGTGTTTAAAGCTTGTTTTGTAGAAAGTGTGTGTTATCACTTGTATTATAAAAGGAAAGATAGACACAGTGCTCACAATAGAATAATAATAAAAATATGAAGTTTTTTAAATATTTCGTAGTTTATATATTTCAAGAATCTGAACAAATTTTTAAATTGATTTCCAGAGAAATTCTAAATAATAAATAGAAAACTATTTCAGTCACACGAATTAAATATGAAGTACTTTGAATATTTTGCACATTCTATACGTCAAGAATCTGAAGAAATTGCCTTTAAATTGATTCCCACAAAAACATCAAGTAATAAATAGAAAACTACGATTTACAGCTGGTAATGTAAAATAATCATTTGATCACAGGGATTACCAATGTCATGTTTCAATAAATCCTCCATTAAATCGAATCAAGATAACGAACTACGTTGCACATGAGCTACACTTCATTTCCAACGAAAATAAAACTTTTCTGAATAAAACATCCAAAGAATCTGATCGAATCTCTACCTAATGTGTCACAACAGGTTTTATCAAGAACCAGGTAGGTAAATTGTCATAATACCGTGAACTTGAAACATTCTTACTCACCTTCATCCTGTTGCCTTCCAACGAACGAGATTCAACGACGTGTCAAGATCGCAATTTTCTGATTTATCACCTGTAACTTGGAGTTTTCACTGAAAGAAAGAGAAGAAAAAAAAAGAGAGAAAAAGGCGAAAAATAGAGAAGGATATGTACCGGAAGTCACGATCACAAATAATCGAAGACGAGTCAACGCGCGCGATGATTGGACGTTGAGGAAGCACTGCGTGTTCTGCGCGCAATTAGGTCATTGTCCTTCATTTATACTCGCAACCGGCGAACGTATCATCGAAGGCCGAAACGTCGCCTCCTACCTTGCTCTGATGGATAACAGCTGCTTCGAAATGCGGAACGTAACCGGGAAAAGTCATGGTTTCCACGAAATTCACAAGAATTCCCAATTCTGCGTTTGTTCGTACCTGCAAGTGCATCGGACACGCTTTGAATTGCAGCTAACTGTTCCATGTAAGTAGGGATGTATGATCAATTTGCTTTCATAATGTTCTCCAATTTGTACGAATAAAACAATCGATGCTTTTACTCGTCTTTCCCTTCTTGCAATATAAACGATACGCTGTAACAAATCCACAAAGTATCATCAATGTTCGATATTTTTCTTTTCTTTCTCACAGTTTGTACGAACAAAGTAATCACCTGTTTTATTTGCCATTGAATTTTCAACAGTTGTCGCAATTACTTTAATAATGTAAAAGTTCTTATGCTTCTTTCTCCGATCTCCCTTACTCTCCTTTCTCGCGTGTTTCTTGCTCGTATCGTGGACATCTAAAATCGTGTACGGTGAACGTCTCCCAGAAACGGTAGTTCGACTAAGCCGCCTTTCCAAAAAGAAACACACTCCAACCAGAATCTTCATCTCGATCGAATTTTTAGCTTCGGTTGAAATTAATTGTTCGTTCAACCTCGATTACGTTATCGTTCTCGAAGGTGTGAAAAATAATGGTACGAGGAGGGAACGTTCTCGTGACGGTGGCTCGAAATTTTCGTAAACCAGTTTACGAATCGGTCGAATTGTGGTATTCGATGACAGGAAAGTCGATTTGCGACTGTATCAGTGGCCCTCCGAGAGTCGACAGATGGACAGAACGATTGAAGACCGGTCAAACGCCGTTTCTCTCCATATCCTGCTACTGGATTCCCTCGTGAGGATACACCTGTGTGCGTGGATGCGCGCGGACCAACGTGTGTGATCCAGTGACCCACTATATTCACCGGTGGCTACGTGAGTTTATGACTAAAATTATGCGACCGCGCCATTCAATCTTTCTCAACCGAATGGAAACTTTTGCATTCCTCGTTCTGTCCTTTGTTGCGTCGCGTGACCAACAATTCGGTCCTCGAAACTTGCAACAATCGTACACGCATATCCTCGTATTTATCATTTTTTATAGTCGTTTCACAAACCTTATGCTCTATTTCATTTTTCTTTCTGTGCTATTTTAATTCGTACATTTGCAATTTTAAAGTCACCGTTTTTTTTTTTTCTTCTTATTTTCAGTGTGATTGATTTATGAAAGGAATTCTGAAAAATAAATAATTCTTAAAAATATTCTTAAATCAATTCGAACCTGAAAACTTGCAACAACGATACACACGTATCCTCATTTTTATAATTCTCTTCAAACCTTATGCTCTATTTAACTTCTCTTCTTACTTTTCCTTCGTTATTTTAATTCGTGAAGTTATAATTTTAGAGTCACTGCTTAGTTTTATTTTCAGCGTGATTTATCTCATAAAGGAATTCTGAAAAATAAGAATTAAACTCGACGATTTTCTATGAAAAATCATCTGCCTCGTTTCTGGAGTACGTGTCTGGAAAGAACGGGAGTCATTTAGGTTTTGAAGTTCATTGCACCCTATGAGAAGCTTTTTGAAAGGAGATCGAGGACACTTATTTCGCGAATGTCGTTCGTTGCTCTTGACATTCGTCGATTGTTGTTGTCTGCATCGGTTTGAAGATTTTTCGTCGAAGTTAAACAATTTATATCGTTCCTTAGAAAAGAGTAACAGTATACATGAAACAATAAATGCAAATTCTATCAACGTAAAAATTAGTCCACTAATGAGACGAAGAATATCAACGATAACTTAGTTCACGCGTGACATATCTCACGATTAGAGTATCAACGATAAGAATAGCGAAATAATCAGGTCGGGATAACAGTGAGTAGAAAAAGGATTTATTTAAACTTAATACGAGAAAACAATATCAAGTTCATTCATGAAGATGTTCCGCTTGCAAACGAATATACACGCTGCGATAGACTAATTAAAACAACGTCGGCTCGTAGAGCGTGTTACAAATATTAAGGGTTCTGTAATTACGAATTCTAATGAACGTTAGAAGAAACGGTAGGGACGAATAAAGTAGTTACTCGCATTGTTATGGCCTTCTTCGTTGTGCGTAAAGATCGACATTAGCGTTTCTCGAGCTTCATTTGCATTTATATACGCACAATGAATCGTTATGCACTTTCATACACCTCATTCACCTTCTTCTCCTTAACCATTTCGAACGCAATCGACGAATCCCCAAATCAGTTCGAAACGACCGGCGAAATCGTACCGCGCTCATTAACAATCATACAAGACAAAGGAGAAAAAGAGTAAAAAAATCATACAACTCGTACTCGGTATCGAACCACTTATCACAAAGTATTGTACAAGAAATACCTACAACAAAATAACGTCTACACTAACTTGACTCGTATTCGTTAACTGTTCAACATTCATCGTGCCTTCATTTGCATGTCGGACCGCTCGCTTTCTTTTCCACAGTAATTCCAAGAAGATTCGTCCACGAATAACTTCCGTTGATTCGATCCATTAAATTTTGTTGTGGTCTTCTTTCGTTAACGAGGCGAAAGCCGAAACACAATTGAACACACACGCACACAGACACAACCGCATTACTTATGTAGGTAAATTATCCTTAGCGCAAATCTTCCAAACTTTCGACTGGTCTCTCCGCAAAATTCGCGAAATTTTGCATAGTATAACACACTTCCACTGTAAATTCCCCCCGTTTGTAGGCACTATAGTCTCGTGTGGCTGCGTTTAGTGCACATGATGTCTTTTGAAACCTACGTAGGGATAGTACGCGTAGGTGTAAATCACTGTAACAAAGAATATCGTCGGCATGGTGAACATAGAAATTTCGGAGTGAGAGAAATTTGCATACGCGAACAATACAGTGTGCTCGGAAAGGCGTTAGAAGCACTTTGAATTGAAACGAGCTCTGTTCCAGATACTACTGTACTGTTAAACGGACGTTCGGTAGCTCGGAACTACCGATGTATCACCGATAGTGAAACATAGGATCAGATATTCATGACTCAGAAGACGCGAGAGACAATACGGGTGACATAAGACGCGTGCAAATTCGATATTAATTACCTCTGTGACACGCAAGACTCGATATACATAATAATAGCTGAATCCGCTGTACGTGATGTACAGCAATCTTGCAAAATTGATGAAATTCTTAAGTTTGTAACAAGATAACTGCGATCTAATTTTACAAGAAATTCACAATAATGATATTGAAAATTATATTGAACAAAATTTTTTTTAGCATAGTCTAAGGATGCACCTTTCTCTAGAAACAAAAAGTATTACGTTATCTTCACTGGTTTAGCCAAAAAAAATTGTTAAAAGTCACTTATTCTTAGACTCCTTTTAGCTTCTTAACACTGAAACACCTGTCAGGTGAAAACGACCCATTACCAATTTTCCAAAAAAGTGAATACACCTCTGTTTTTATCGATATGAACCTAATTTTTCAATCACGCTTTCGTTTCACACAAAAATTCACTTTCGGAAACTTGCCGATGGGTCAACTTTGACCCGGACAGTTCTTCCACCGTTAAGATCGAAGGATCGACTTCGTAATCATGCTCGATCACATGCATTGTAACCAACGTCGATACCTTCATATACCAAGCATGCATGATAGCGAACACTCTCAACACGTAGCATAAATTCCAATTACCTGTGGCCTCTCGTTCGATCTACCCTCGATGCAGTCTCATGCGTTGCGCGACCTGGCTGATGGACCTTCTTCTCTGCGCGCTACTTCTCCTCCGATACAAGCCATGCATATCGAAAGTAGTTAACGGCTGAAGTAGCCCCTGATTCGGCCAATTTTTTGTATGGAGTTAGCAGTGGTATCTTCAGTGGTTCTTGCAGCGAAGCGTACGAATTCGGAAGCAGAGGCACGTTATTATGGATATTAGCGTGCTGTTGCAACTTTGTCGTCTCGATACCACCGCCTGGTTTCAGCGTTGAAATTTTGATCGACTCTATCTCGGGATCTATGCCGATCGATAAACTCGAATACACGGATAGATCGTTGCTGGACGTGTCGGAGTGTGGCAAATCGAAATTTCCCTTATTTGGAAGGGCGTATTGAACGTGCAACGGCGGATATTCGACGCTCTGTTGAATGGAGAACGGTGCGTGAAGATTCAACGGCGAACCGGAAGCCAGAGGAGGATACGTTGGATACTGGTGTCCTTTGTAATCGTTCAACGAGTACTGCTGAACTGGAACATCGTAGCTGGACGGTGGACGATCGGGTGGATGACTCGATTCTATGGCGTGATCACCTTGATTATAATTCTGATATTCGTTCGCTACTACTGTGTTCTCCACTTCTTTGTGGGGCAGATGAGGCGATGGTCCGTGGTAATTGTGTTCCAGTTGCGTCAGAGGAGGCTTTTCGGCGTCCAAGTCCACTGCGTGATGGTCGTGATCGTCCGGTTTCGTCGGTTTCACAATCAGGAGGCCCGCTTGATCATCGACTGTAAACGCGACGTCTGTCAGTCGTGTCTGAACGTTAACCTTTCGTCTCACGATGTTTCTACTTGAATCGATTTCTCGTGTCGAAATTAATAAGCATTTATTTCGGAAGATCGAATGAATAATTCAGAAAACGATATTTCTTCATTTGTGAAAATTCACGAAACGAAAGGTTAATTAATTCTTCATCTACAACGTGAGTGCACCAATAAGAACACCTACGTAACCCCCGGTTCGTTAAAATTTTCATTACAAATTTACCATAAACCAATTTCGTCGGCTTGCGAAATACTCGTAGCAACGAAAAAATTAAAAAAATATATGTGCACCGTCTGGATTAACATGAGGGAGTCTGTTTTACGTAAAACATCCTTGAACTATTCTCACGTTCGGAGAAAGCGCGTTACGTAAAACTCGAACCGATCTAAAAGGGTCAAAAAAAGAGCGAAAGTGAATATGAACTTCGAATTTTGAGAATCAACAGGAGAAAAGGTAGGGGGATACAAGCGTTATTCTCACGGAAGGAAATAATTGCTCGAAGAATGGCTGTTGTACACGAGTCGAGATGTGAAATTCCGAGCGTGAAGGGGAAAAAGGGGGGACAATGACACGAGGGAAAATTCCCAGAAAATTAACAAGCGCGAAGTTCAAAGTACCGAATAATGATCACCGCGGAATTCAAGGTGGCATATATCACGTGAACCGCGAAGCTGTCTTAACCCATTCTGCCCCACTCGATCGTCTCATGCACCGAGGAGGAAAGTTCCGGAGATTAGGATCTTGCTTGAAAGCGAAGATAGCTCTTACTTTCTTTATTTCAAAACGCGTAACAGTCTTCTCTGCGATTCTACGCCTCTCACCGAAATCTTCTGTTTTTTTTTCTTTTTTAAATCACAAACACACACACACACACGCGCGTTGTGATTATTATACGTTCGAAGCGATTAATGGACTATATTTATTCCGCATGCATACCGCGCTAACAACGTAATGGCTGTCATGGAGTATCATTTCTACCAGTCAAGCCTCTACGGGAAGCTAAAGGTATTAGTATTGGTGCACGGCTTTAATGGTGTGTTTTAATCATTGTTTTTTAATACTAGAAAGTTTTACCATCCGAGGGTGACTCGTAATTCGAACTTCCATGATACTCCTCGTTCGGCTCGCCGTATTCTTCGATACTGGGCGGCGGTCCGTCGTAACTTTCTTCGTGACCTGTGCGTATCGTTCGCGGAGTTAATTTAGAAACGATCGAGAGGTAAGGGACAACGTTAAATGTACATTGGTAATTGTATGCAAAGTTTCGCTCGAGTCTTTCGATAGTGTCTTACCTAACGTTAGAGATGTATTATGCTAATTGGAATCCGGAAATCATTCTATTGTAAAGTATAATTACTTCCTTATCGAAATTCTTACACATTTTTCGTTCTTTTCCTAAACGATGCTTTTTCAACGATTACATTCAACATCGTGGTAGTTACACTTAGGTAATAATTGTAAATAAAATAGACAAGACGTTCAAATAGATCAGGTAAGACAGTTTAGAGACACTCTGCATACTCTTTTCTTTTTTTATTGGAGGTATTTGAACTATAGGGAAAATATTTTTGAACGTGTCTATTTTCTGTTCTAAGTCTAATTTCACCGAAAAGAGACGAGAAAACTTACCTTCCGGAGGATGCTCGTACGAATATCCAGAATGAGGCGGTTGATGATGATGTTGAGGATACGCGGCACTTTTAGCGATATTTCGACCCAACGACGTGATCGCATCGCCGGTCTTCGTCATAATCTTCCCTTTCGTCGAGACAAGGTAACCGCTTCCCTTCAGTAGCTGACCTTTCAAAGCAATCACACCGCCACTTATGGCTTTTATGGCTTGCATTAACGTGCTAATGATCGCCTTTTTGAAGTCCCATACGTCGAACGCCTTATCGCCGTACTATCATAGAAAAATTATATTAACAAAAGGCACAAGTTGTTGCGCAAATACAATCGGGATGCGATTTAATCTTTTACTTTATTCAATATTCAAAGTTGTACGATACAGCTGAGATTAATATAAGCAAGCCTCTAATTGCTAACGTACAAACTACTTCTACTACGCTAATTAAGTAACTATCTTTGTCTTTTTCTTCTTGCACAAAACTAGAAAATCGAACGATCCTAGTTTAGTCTATAAAAAAAAAAAAAAAAAGAAACGCCCTTGAATAATTTCCAAGTTACAATTATTCGACACTTTTCTCTCTGTTTCTCCATGAGTTGTTCGACATGCTCCCTTTTGCCGTTGTTCTTGCGATTAATGAAATTTCAATTATGACAGGTTCGAACGATCCGCGATGACATATCACGGTCGACCTGTTTCACTCGATCACCAACAGTATCGTAATTTCACGATGGAAAATTATAAATTTCAACACGACCGCGTATTCAAAGGCGTGACACGACCGTTGTTCGGTGAATTTGTACCGGTGAACCAGTTTACCTGGATCGACGCAAGTAACACGATTACACTCGCGTACGTTCCACGAAGAATCTAACGTTTCCGCTTAAAAAAAAAAAAAAAAAAAAATGAATAAGAGAAAAAACGATTTCACGAGGTCGATTTCATTTCCATCGTGAAATTCCTCTGCTGAAATATTCCACGATTGAATAAGGGGCGTGTGAAGACGAGAACCAGCCTAAGATTTCCCTCCGTAATTGCAACCTCGACGACCCACATAATGATTTTCCTTCGTGCAGCTAATATATCGATGTACAACTGTTCGCGCTAAGTTTCTACGTCGTTTATTCTACTTTAAATTCGCCCTCGACGAAAGTGACTACGTGTCTTTTTAATTATATCCCGCGGGTTCGCTCGTTGGAAAAGAAAAGCTGGCCAAATTTCACGCGCGTTAGAACGGTCTCGTATCCTCGAAAAGGGACAATCATCGATCCATACCTTTTCAACCATATTAAAACACAAAATGAACTTTCAAACGCGGATGAAATCACTTTCACCCGTACGCACAGATTGTTACGTAAAATTGGTTGGAAAAGAAAAAGAAAGAACAAAAAACTAAACCATTAATCTCGTATTTAAAGTACCAGCATCCTTCGTATATCCACTCTGTTTCGATGCACTGTAACGAACTTCCGCCAGCAGGTAAATACACACGTGAATTTCTGCCCAACAGACGGACTTTTACTTCTGCTACGGTGAAATTTCCACGTATAAAACGTTTCCATTCCTTTCTTTCCTCTCACCCGAAAAAACAAAGAAGCAAAAATCTAGCAGTCCTCTCTCTCTACGCAGAAAGTTATTCATCCTGGATATCCTAATCGAACCCGCGGTTTGTTAGTGACTTTCAATTTTCCAATGTTGCTACATAGTTACCGAATAACCGTGTCCGTATTCCGGCTTTTTCTGTTCGCCGCTAGAAGTGGCGCTCGATTGAGCGCTCGACTGCGAGCTAGAAGCTGAAATCGAGGAGGATCCTTTCGACGCGCTGCCTGAAGCGCTCACCAGCCCTCCGATTATACCTTTGGCGATACCGCCGATCAGACTGCTCGATCCTTTGATGATTCCGCCGGAATCGGAGCCGGAATTCTGCGGATACCCGCCGCCGTAGTGTTCGCCGTACGGCTCAGGAGCGTATCCACCGTACGGTTCCTCCGGCGGATATCCTTCAGGCGGAGACTCGTAACCGTCCTGATTGTACGCCTCGCGTTTCGATCCCGATCTCTTTATCCTGTCTTGCATCATCGCCATGTAGTTCGGATTCGCGAGTAGCTCGATCATCGCCCGATTTCCACCGACTTTGTTCGCCACGTCTCTCTGCAGATGCTCCGGGAGGATTCGATAGATCTCGAACGCTTGTTGCTCGCTGATCTGCTCGATACCAGGATCCCTGGCTGCGTTTTCGAGTAATTGCCACTGTTCCTCGGTTGGCAATTGTTCGCGGGGTGTTCTTCGATATGGAGCGAGGCGTTCGAGCTGCGCCGATGCACGGGCCCGTAGTGCTTGCTCGTTCGATTCGGGGCTCTCTGATAGGACTGCTGCGACGCAGCAGCAACCGAGCGCGAGCAGCGACAGTAACTGAAATTAGGGTGAAATGTGAGTTGGTGTGAAAATTTTGAAAATTTCTATTTTCGAGAGGGTTTGGGATTTGCGAGACGGTACATGGTTGATATTGACAGTTTTAGTCGACGTAGGCTGATCCGAGCGTATCAGATTTACGCGAGAAAATTCTTTTAGATATTTAGATCGTTGGATATGAAGAATTTCTACATATTTTGAAAAATTTGTTGTATTTCCATTGTAAGAATACACAGGCGTTTTTTGGTGGTAGCAAAAGGATTGACGTCTCTAAAAACGACGATGTTAGGGTGCTTCTAAGATTTTCTTTCGATACCAGAGATATTGCAAAAATTATTCTGATTTCTATTTTTTCTTTTCCTAATTCTGGATTATTTCTGGAGTTTTCAGTAAAGAATGTTTGTTTGAACTTTAAGTGACTGCTGCGAGAAATTATGCGAGAGACAAATTTTTTTAACTTTAAAGACTGGATGTCTCGAAGATCAACCTTGTTCGTCTGCGAAGAAATTTAATCAATTTTTCCCTTTAATTGAACTTTGCTTCGTTAGTATCTCGATAGTATAGAAAATCTGAAATGTGCACGATTCAACGTTAAATGCAAGTCCGAGGTACTTAAAGTGATTTCTAGCATTGTAAATTGGACAACAGCAGCTACGAATGACAATTTCGATAACAAGATATTGCAACATATCGGTAAGTTTATAAATCAGTGAAGCATGCAGCACAGGAACGTGAATGCAGCAAGTGGAGCGGTTCTTGGTGAAAGTCACACGAGGACGGACGCACGGCTTAGGGTTCCGCTTTAGAAGATGTCCATGTGTGTGACCGCCGCGCGACGAACAGCGATCTTGATGGAATTGCTGGTTTCACCAGCTACATCGAGAGAAAATGACGACGAGCGACGGTTAAAAGGACGAAAATCGTCTGCAGATCGAGAGTCGACGACGCCTACAGCTTCTTTAATAAAACTTCTCGAATCTCTATACAGCTGTTTCTCTCTATCGCAAAATTTCACAGCAAATTTTCTTTCGACGATAATTACACGTTAATTTCGACAATTTTCTTTCGACGATAATTACACGTTAATTTCGACAATTTTCTTTCGACGATAATTGCACATAAATTCCGACAAATTGCTTTCTCGAAGTAACTGATTGTTCGATAAAGAAAAATGAAAAATTATGGAAGGACACGGTAAAATTCGAAACGAAATTCTCACTAAAATGTCAGCTTCCTTCGACCGTCGACCGTGAAACAAAATTTCCTTCGGCGGAGAGTTTAAATAGAAATCTCGAATGATCTGCATTTCCATACCAGCACACCGTTTAATTGCTTATCCGGTAAATTCTCGCACATTCATACCACTCTACGTTTACTCAAAAGTGAAAACTCCAATTTGTTCCGTGCATCAATTCATTCGATCGGTTCGCACAGATCAACGAGCGATATGAAGACATGGCAAGTAAATATCAACAGATCGCACACACAGTTCTCATCGAAAGTGGTTCGAAACGTTAACAACTGTGTGTGCGTGTGTCTGCAAGCTCAGAAAAATTTCAAATTGGACCAATTTTTTTAATCGGCTGAAAATAGACGATTCGTCCAAATTGTGTCGATCGAGTGTTGCAAATGTAATCAGAAATTCGTACGTTGAATTTGTTTGTGTGATTCGTAACCAGTGAAAAACCGCGAAATTCGAATACTTCCGCGTTTTCGTTTGGCCAGATTTCGGAGGGGAACGTGAATTTTCTCGGTCGTACGAAAGTGATCGAAGCGTCCTTGCTCTTGCACTTGGTGGTGTCAACGTTCGACCCAGTTACCATACGTTCCTTCCAGTGCCTAACGCATCAGACACTCGCGGCGATTTCTAAAAAGCGCCCAGCGAGCCGGCGTATCGTAGAGAACGTCACCTCGAGCTAAGAACATCCGCGATCCTTTCGAAAGAAAGGCACAGAGAGAGGAGAGGAGACTCGGCAGTACCACGAAAATCACTTCCGGTTTCACCGGATCCAACAAAATTAATATATCTCTCATGGCTGCCTTTCGTCGTTCGATTCGTCGCGACTTTCTTTGCAACGTGTGCACACTCGGATGGACCGTTCGAATCGTGTTTCACTTGATCCCCAGAACGAACGTCGACTTTCACTGAATTTTTCTTACTTTTACTGGCAGAAAAATAAGTAACACCGTAACTGCACCAACGAGAGACTCTATTAGATACGAGACTTGGTGGCAAAAAGTGCTGGAGAAACGTTGACAAATCTGATGCGAGCAGAAAAGGCGCGAGACGAGAAAAAGAGGCTTTGAAAAAGTCGTGTTGGAATGTTGAAACGCGTGTAGATTTTAAATTAAAAAATTGTAGAAGGATATGTCGAATAAAAAAGAAAGAAAAAAGAATAGAAGGATGTAATTGTGATTAAAGATTCGGCATCGTTTGACCGCGAAAGACAATTTTGGGACAAAACGAAGGAAAGAGAGACACTTTAATACAGGTAAACGACCGCTGGTTAACGACAATGGTCGCGTTTCTTCACACTTTTACCTTCTAAGTAACACAAAGATCGAAAAGGAGACGAAACACGATTTTCCCCATTGTTGCACGCCCATATCTCGAGAAGAACGCGTCCACGAGGGAATACGAGAGAACGCGTTTCACTTTCACGTGGGTGTTAACCACTCGTCTATCCTACTCTCGATCGTAACAGATCTTCGATCAGATCTCGCGTCGATAATTGACCTTGCTGCGAAGAAGAAATTTGTCGAAACTTGAAGAAAACGCGCTTCTCTTCTTTCTTTAGAGAGAAGAATTTGTCGAAACTTGACAAATTTCATTCGAACGAGAAGATCGACAGGTAAGATTCGAAGATGACGAGTTTCTCTTCTTTCTTTTTTTTTAGAGAAAAACGAACACAATGAGTTTCATCTTCGTTTTTTAAAGAGGAGAACGAACACGACACGTGGGCTGAAGAAAATTCAGTGCACAACGATCTTGGGACGCGTACCTTCATGGTTGACTTTCACGGTAGATCGGTAAAAGGATCACGGCACTCTCACTGAACTCACTGGCCATCGCCATCGAGTATTTCCTCTCTTTATACCGACTCCCACCTTTTTAGCCTTTACGGGAGAGTGTTGCCCACCTCTTCATCTTTTTTCTTCTCTTTTCTTCTCTCGAAAATTTCGAACGGGCCCTCGTCCCCCGATTTCCGCCAGGAGATCCCATTTTTTTTACTTTAAAATTGCCCCCCGCACCGTCGATCTTGCGAAATCTCTCGAAGACACTTCTGCGCGCAGAAAATTTCGACGCTTCTTCTTCCCGTTTCTCTTTCCAGAATTTGCATCCTGAACTCGACCAGTTTTATCAGCGGGTTTTGCAATCCCGCGTCACTCCAGTTTATGCTAATCCAGACGTATCGTGTAACGTAACCATGTAAATTTGCATCTTTGACGTTTATTACTTAGTAAATCCGCGGAGATGATTTGAAGAAAAAGAAGAAGAAGAGGAAGAGACATTGTGAAATACAGCGATAATTTTTTGTTTGCGATATCGTCCACGATATCTGTTCCATTTATTTCGTTTCCTGTCTGTCTCTCGTAAGCCGAGTTTGACGTGCATCTTGGAAAACTGCCAATCATGTCGTTGGCTTACTTTCTTCGCTCGCATCGTGGCAGACATGCAAACTGGACGAAAATTCGTGGCGCGCCGTGCGTGCTCTATCATAACTGAAATGCACAGACAGATTTTGCTCCCTCGAGCAGGGAGGTTGAAGAGAAAGAAAGAGAAGAGAGACGAGTTTCGTTTCTTTTATTTCGCTGTTCGCGTTCTTTCAGTCGGGGCACGCTAATGAAAGCGATTTAAAGTGAAACGCAACGTGCATATCTGTTGGGGTAACTAACAGTAGTCACCTTTGTTTGCAACATCGTTTTCATACTTTTCCCCATTCTCGCCGCGATGTACACTGCAACAGTACACTGCGATGTGCATTGCAAGTTGCGCCAAAATTCGCGAAAAGGAAGTTT